AGAGAGAGAGATTAATTAAGCAATTATATATGTATTGTCTGCACTGTATTAGCAGTATATACTCTATATAGAGTATATACTGCTAATACAGTGCAGACACTACATTTACAATTATACTAACATGAATGTATTAAATGATCTGTATGTAGCCCTGTACTATGGATCATTTAACCCATTCATGTTAGCAGAGGATCATTGTAAATGTATTGTTGCACGCACTCTATATGTACATGTACTATATACTACATATAGAGTGCACTGAACAATAGATTTACAATTATCCTCTGCTAATATGAATGGGTTAAATGATCCGTAGTACATGATATGTAGCCCTGTACCCCCTTTTCCACTTACAGAGCTAGGTTATTTTTCTTTTAAATAAATATTAATGTATTTTAATGGTATCTATCTACCAGTAGCTGCCTCATTTCCCACCCTCGGCTTATATTCGGGTCAATACTTTTTCCCAGTTTTTTTTGCTAAAATTAGGTACCTCGGCTTATATTCGGGACGGCTTATACTCGAGTATATACGGTAAAACCTGGCATTATAGAAATATAGGGGCTGCTATTGCTGACTTTGTTCTGAAAATGCATAGTTGTTATGCTGGCCCACTGACTCCAGGACTATTTAGTCACTGACCAAGTGTATTGAAGTAAGAGGGCAGCAAGACAATCAGGTAACTAGAGGAGAGATTTATTTTATGACATGTTACTACTAAAATAATTACACTGTCATAGGGCTTATCAACTGCATACAAGTTGCACAGCAGCTGCATGGGTTCAGGCTCTTGACACAGCTCTGTGCCTGGACATAGGCTGTGTGCAGAATGAAAGTGCCATAACATTGTGTTAGTCTGAGAACAATAATCCTACAGGAACTGACGTCTTTATCAGTTAACTATCCAGAGATTCCTAAATTTAGTAAAACTCAAGGTAAAATAGGAAAAATGTATTTTGTATAATAAGGGTTTCAATGTATTCATGATGCTTAAGACAGGGGGGGGGATTTATCAAAACTGGAGCAGAAGAAACGGGAGCAGTTGCCTATGGCAACCAATCAGCTTCTCTCTTCAGTTTGTTCATTAAGGTTTGAAAATGAAAGGTGGATGCTGATTGGTTGCCATGGGCAACTGCTCCACATTCTGTCTGCTTCAGTATTGATACATTCCCCTGAGTTTAAAGCTGAATTCTGATGATATAATGCTCCTTAGTTTAAAGGGAATGTAATTAAAAGAATTAATTGCCTTACCCTATTGTCCCACAGGCTTCCTACCTGACTGTCTCACAAAGCCACACTTCTCCAGATGTGTCTTTTCCCAGCTCGCCGATGTCATCACATACAGTGCAGGAACAGCAGCCAAAGTTGATCCTGTGTTGTATCTGAGGACATCAAGTGCTTGCCCATATTTCAGGGCAGGAGGGAAAAAGACCAGAAGTTGCAGGACTGGGGAATACGTTTTAATCTCTATTGCATCCCTGTAGAATAAGCAAATTATCCTGAATATGCAGGGGGCACCCACATGTTATTGGTTTTATGATGACTGGAGTTCAACCTTAAAGCAAACCTATAGTGACATCTAAAGGCTGTGACACACTGCAGGCGAAGCAGCGCGGAGCGGTGGCGCGCTGCCTTTGCGAGCAGTGTGTCATGTAATTTTCTTCTGGGCACCTCAGCTGGCGAGAGCTCACGGAGGTGAGCGTGCCGAGATGAACAATTTCAACTTCAGCCAATCGGCTCGCGCGTATAAACCAGCGCGTCGCGATGCGACAGCTGGCAGGTTGTTACGGATGAGCCGATTGGCTGAAGGTGCTGTCAATCATCTGGCTGCACTCAGCTCACACACTGCACGCAAAGCTCCGTGCCGGATAGCTTTGCTTCGCCCTGCACGGCTTCGCGTGCAGTGTGTCACGGCCTTAAAACTATAATCAATGTAGAGTCAACTCCAGCTGTCTTCACATACAGGGTTATTCACAAAAGGGTGAAGAGTTTGAAGAGACAGGAGAAGTGAACAATCTAGGACAACATAGCTGAACTGGAAAGTGAGCTGAATTGGAGAATGTTTCCAAATCAGATATTCTGTCCTAGATTGTTCACCTCTGCTGCCTTCTCCAAACTCTTCACCCTTTTGTGAATAACCCTGATAGTGTCTGTGTTCTTTTAAAGCCCCCCCTGGAGCCCCTAAACCTAGGGAGCCTTTTATACAAATACTGACCTACTAGTTGAAGTCACTGTATGGGTCTTCACACTCCTGTGACTCCTGATAGACCAATAATGCCACATCCATATTGATTGGCCCAGAAGTGCAGGAGGTGGTAGGGGTGCTGCCAGGAACTGACAACTAGAAAGTCAATATTTGCATACTAGTGTGTCTTGGTTCTCTAGAGGAACTTGGATACTTAGTAAAGCAATGAGGAAATGGCCTTCCATGCTGGAATGACAGATATAGGAAAACTTTTCTACAAATAAAGCAGGTTTGTAAATATAACCTTTCCCCTTTCACTTCTTGTCCTTTGAAAATGTACTGAGTTTATCAAGGGTCCTGGAAATTAAGATTTTATTCTAATGAATTCATCTGTAGAAACAGATCTGTACAGTTATATCAGAAAAGGCATAATCCTAGCCTTAACCACAAAGGATAATTCATGACTGGTTGCCAAAACATAGCAGGCTATACGTAGCTAAAGTAATACTAGAAATGCTTTGCTTCCTTAGCTTACCTTTTATATGCTTTCTGACAGTGGGAAGAACGCATGTGCTGAATAGAAAACCTTATTTCATGGCTGCTGACAGTGAATCAATGAGTTATGTGGTGTAACATTATCTTTAATTGTATTATTTTTTTTACAATGGTCAGTCATGGTCGCCCAGCCCTAAATAGCAGAATGTCATTGTACATGCAGTGTGATGATTTCAAGCAGTATATGCAATACCATCGCTGCTGAGCATCAAAACACTACACAAATGTTCTATTCAGTTATGTTCACCATTATCTCTCAAAGAGAACAAGGTAAGATTCTTCTGGAGAGTCTAACTGGTCAGTTTGTACAAAAACTGTTCTTCCTACAGACATTTGAAAAGTCAACATGGCTCTTTAACATTTATAAGGTGACAGCAGTGCTCTATAATGCCTGTGGTAATCTTCAATCAATCAGAAATAGATAATCCGCGCCTCTGGAAAGGAGACTAAAGTGGAAATGTATAATAAATTAAGACCTAAAGCAGCTCTAAAAAGAGGATAGAAGAATCCTATCAACAGTCGAGAAAAATATATATCAAAGCGCTAAAGGTATAACTAATATGAAAATTAGTTATACCTTTAGCGCTTTGATATATATTTTTCTCAATCTTCAATCAATCCCTGTGGAGCCCCTTGAATAAGCCCAAGCTATGGGACCTGCAACGTCTGTCCAGGTCTGAATTTAAGTATATGTTTTATTTTTTAGATAGAATGGGGAAAGGGGAAAGTTTTTATTGCTGTCTTTGTCCTCCCAGTGGAGAGTCACCCTCTCTATTTGTCCTGGTGACCACCGTCACCAAGACAAAAAGTGCAGGTAGATCCAGAAATTGAGTTGTCTTCAGAGCAACAAATGAGGGGGTGCATCCTCCAGTGCGAGCATCAATTCATGTGGCAACTGTCCAAGATGGAAATTCCATTCACTTTTGAGAAATGTCCTCTTATTTACTGTTGCATCGTCAGGAAATGTTCCCAGCGGGACACAGACAGCAAAAAATTGCTTGAAAACCCTTCTCTACTCTGCAACTAAACAAATTTTTTGGTTTACATACTATTTAAGCTGCAGCCCTGTCATTGAAGTGTCAATTGCCAGAATGTCAGAAAGAGGGGGTACCTAATCTGGACTTGGAAAGAAGTTAAAAATCCATATAAAGCTTAGGATACTTGGATACTAAAATCTTGGATACTTAGGAAAGCTTAGGATACTAAAAACAACTTGGATACTTATGAAAGCTTAGGATACTTGGATACTAAAATCCAAAGGAGCCCCACCGAGACACAAGGATCAATTTGTAAACTACCACAGATATTTGGGGAAACAACAAGTTGCAGCAGTTTAGGACTACTGTTACCGCAGAAATGCTTTAAGCCAGATAAGGTTCACTTTAAAGCATTAGGCCTAATAATATGAATAGTTAACTTTACAAGCTGACATTGTTTATAATTGAGTGTGATGGCCAGCGTGGCACTTTTTATTTCAACAATAAACATCCGTTCATAGTTTCTCCATCAGTTCTGAAACCTTTACAGTAATTTCAGAGACATAAATAGTTGGGTTTCCAGGAAGAAATGTCTGTGATCACACCAGCTTGTTCTATTATGTGATTCAGTCCGTGCTTGTACGTATTTCCAAGTTCATTCCGCTCACAAATCATCTTTATGAAATTCTTAAGTAAATAAACCGCTGCACATGATACCATATTATTCTAATTCAGCAATATCCTGGCTGTTAGGCTAATCATACACAGGGTTAATACTGGAGCACACAGGCCAGATGAGCAGCTCACAGTGGCATCTCTGGAAGCCCATACTTGACGTCCCTTAAGTGGCTGAGGTGGTCGGAAATTGTCCTTCATCTTCACAAGAGTCTCTCCCTGAGCAGAGAAATGAGCTGTGTCCGTCAGTATTTGATGCTGTAAACATATGAAAATATACATTGTCTGAGAACCATAATTCAAATGAACTAGCACAAGATACCATAGATCTCTTGCAGAATGAATTGTAAATTCTTTGCAGTGTCAAGGTGATTTATTACCATATACTAAACATTAACTGTACATGTTAAAACAAACAAAGAATATAAAATTATGATGCCTTCAGTCTGGGTAAATAATTAGAAGCAAATGATAAACGCCACTGTTTAAATGAGTTGATAGTCCTATAATAGAATGATCTATATTTCTGTCAAAAGTTCTGAGAATATACCACACAAACACATGACATGACCTCCTTCAGCAAGAAGAAAATCTGTCTCCTACTTTTCTGATTATGGCATTACTGACTCAACTTGCTACAATAATTCCCTCACTGTAGCCCTATCCATAGAGAATCAGGTGAACTGATACCCTCATCTTTACTTGAAGAAGCATAGACTATAAATAGGTATACAAGCCAACCAAAGCAGCTAAATAGCTGGCACCACAAGCAGTCTGCATATACTTCTTGTTCTGAGGAGCCCCTAAATTCGGGTGCAGACAATGGGTAAATATCTCTTTTAGAAAATACTTGCATTTAAAGTTTCTTATTTACAATAAAAATGGACACCTTTTGTGATTTTTGTAATAAAATATAACAAGCAGTGATGTGCACCATAAACCCTTAGCAATCAGTCTAATTTTAGTTGTGCCAAACCTTAAAAAAACAAAATAGAACAGGTAGACAAGAAGCCCATATTTATTGCTAGAGGTTATTACATGTTTTTCTTTATTGACCAGTGACCCATGTTTGTCAGGTCTAGCAAAAAGACATTGGTTCTGGTTGTACCTGTGTCTTACTGATGGTCACTGGCTGTTCAAACACTGTCCAAATGACAGCCTGTGAGCAATCAGGAGTTGTGAGGGAACCCTGATATCTGTAGTAGCTTGACAACTTCTCATGAGCTGGGAGGAGACTTTCCAAGGGAAATGTTGGTGTCAGCAGTACATAGTCCCCTGTGAAATAAAAACTGTATGTTAGCAGAAGTGTTCATGATGAGAGATTTTGGGCTCATTCACATCAGCCCACACACAAATCCAGTAGGGCAAGTGTTCGCCCTGTAACAATGAATCGCATTCTTTACTTTTTTTTTATTGAAGTGTCACAAAATTACACACTGTGTCAAGTCTATGCATCACAGCATAATGTGACACACTATGGTTTGGTGACATGCAGGCAGGCACAGTGTGACACAGGCACTAAAGAAAATCATGACAGACATTGTAAACTTTCTTCTGTCAAAGTTGACAGAGGTGCTGACCCTTCACCCCAGGTGGTGGGTGGTCTTCCATACTACAGAGAGGGGTGCTGGCATCATGACATAAGCACTGGCTTTGCAGTGTTGTATCAAAAACCCACACCAATATGCTCACACAACCCCAGGGGTGTTTCCATGAGTACCTGGATTTAAAGGAAGTGTATTGAAGGACACTGGCTGTCAATTAAACCAGAATAGGTTCGTCAGTCAGCAGCAAAGTGAACTTTTTGCTGGGGACAGCACTAGAGAGATGATAAGTGTTGCAGTCAAGCTGCATTTTTTTGTAACCATGCCATATTTTACAATTTGAGAGTGGATCTTTACTTAAAGGGGTTCTAAACCCTCCGTTTTATTTTGCTTATATCTACTGCTAGCATGCAGTAGATATAGGCAAGAAGTGTAAAAAAAAACAAAAAACTCTTAAAATAACTTTATTCTTACCTCGTTATCGCTGCTCACTCCCGCGCCGAGAATCAGGAACTGCCTGTACGGCCGCAAAGGATCTTGGGGCGGGCACATGCGCAGTTCCGATTCTCGGCCGGGAGACGAGCAGAGACGCAAGGTAAGTCTATGGACGCGTCCCCCCGCCTGCAGACACCACTGGATCGGAGAGACAGAGCAGTCAGCGCTGGATCGGAGTGACGTCACACCGCTGGAGGGACACATGAAAACATGGGGAAAGAAGAGGAAGATCGGAAAAAGAGACATCATTTAAGGTAAGTGCTAACATTAACATGGGGGGAGAGGGGAAACATTTTTTTGCCTTTAATATCACTTTAATGATACAAAAAATAAAGATGTTGGTGATTCAACAAATATACTGAAGAACATCAAATCAAAGTTAAAGTAGTATATACACTGACCTTCTAATGATATATTCTTCATAGCAGACACTAGTGAACTATAACTTGGATTATCTGTTTCTCCCACCTAAAGACAAAGCAGCAGTAACATACATTATCCAGATTTACCAAAAACTTGGGAACATGATAGTGTAATGCGTCTTACCGTTATCAGTATGCCTAGCACAGCCAATCCTTGAGGGTCTTTCTTTGCTTCAGTGACACTGCTGTATTTGTCATTCATATGAACGATATGCAGCTGACAACAAACAAACAGTTATTTGGCATCTCTAAAATTCTACATTTTCACCAGTATGCAAAGGTGCTCTGTGTTACAGAGCACCTGTAACACAGGCAATCATCTAAGATCTCAACAATGTTCCAGTGTACCACTGTACCATTATAGTTTTTGAATGCCCGTTTTGACATATAACAGCAAACTACCACACCAATGGGATATTAAGATCTTGTTCTTAAGAAAAAATAATATTGCAACTTTCAGTGTGTCAGTGAATGCCACCTACTTATAGCATTATAGAAATTAATGTCTATGCTCTATTCTACCTATCTTGCCGTTTCCAACCCTTGCAGTGCAAATAATAGATTGCGTAATGAAATGTATATATGTAATGAGTGCATGTGTCAATGAACACAGAAAGTAAATATGATCCTACGCAGTTTATGTTTCAACAGGAATGGAAGGTAAAGTATAGGTCAGTTACATTGGTACCTCAAGTGGAAACTGCTTGCCATCTACTGTATGTTCTGATCCATCTTTGGTAGGACTTCCCCAATGGAAATGGAACTGTAAGGCTCGGTATGTGTTGGGTAAGTTTGCACCGCTGATACTTATGTCTCCAGACAGGCTCAGCATAACTGCAAAGAGCAGCACACAATGTCTGGTTATCACATTAAACCATGAGAAAAGCGCCAGCAGAGTTTATAGAAAGTATTTGTGCATCAACCTGCAGCTAGAACATAGACTCTGTAGTTTACCAGGGGGAAGGAGAAGAGAAATGTTTGTCAGTGAAATTACCTCACCTGAGTGTCCCTCATTCATAAGCTTCCATTCAGCAGGTGGGGCATGATCATAACCCTTGAAGGTGATGTCACCTAAGTGGCTATCTTTCTTTGCTTTGGCCTTTTCAATGTTAATAGGTGATTGATGATCCCCTCCACAGTTGTGATTAATGTCCTTCCAATGGTCAGGCCCTGACCCAAACAAAAATGCATAAAACAATTGAGTTTCTGCTTTATCTCCATCCACATCTTGAGCCTTTGCACTCATAGTAAAGCCTTTCCATCTAATTTACTAGAAGTCATATACTATCAAATTACTAATGGATAAATTAAGTATTACACATACACAATATCGTTTTCAGTCTTTGCAAGATAAAGAAGAACTCCAGTCACATTTATTAGTTTTAGATAGAGGAGTGAATGATTAGAACTCATAGTCTGTGTTCCCAGTTGGAGATCTCGCCACCACCGCCACCCACTTTTTGTCCCAGAGACAAAACAAGAATTGAGGAAATCTCATTCAACAGAGACGTACACCATAACAAAAATGCTAACCTTTACCCACTTAATAGAAGTGTTTTATAGCCGCTTGTGTCTACATTAGAGAATTATCTTAATTTTTTTGTCTTAATGACAGAACAGAAAGTAAGATGATATTTGCCCAATGGGGATGCAGACCACAATACAAGCCTGACAAAGAATTTCACCCTTCACCCCACTTCAATAAAATCTACAAAAAAAGGTTTGCCTGGAACTCTAACATATTGCAAAGAATGTTAAGTATATGCAAGACCGGGAAGCTTTTCAAACCTTATCAGACTTACATTTTGGTAATTTACTCACCACAAGCTGGGTTCTGAGAAGAGTAGCACCACTGACCTGAATAAAATAGACAATTATTACAAAATAAAACACCCTGAATAAGCTTAACATCCCAGCAGTTACTGTGAATGTGTCAGCCATGTTAAAGATATAAAACTAAAAATCTCCCAGAGACAACACAAAGTACTTGCTATCACCCTTATTGGTAAGAAAACTCACCTTTGTGTGCATCACTGATGTTGGATTCACTTTGTTACTTGGGCCTTGACATCTCTGACTGATACTAAACCCTACCTCAATCACCATTAACCTACCAAGTAAAAGATCCCTTATTGACCATTGATGCTAACTGCTGCTGCTCTACAGTAACAGTTATCAGCACCATTGAAAGGTTGGACCTACATCTCTAGGGGTGTCGTTCTTAATATTTTCTAGCAATGATTGCTCCATTTAGAAGGAGAAATGAATTTGCAAGTTTGCCTTGCTGGTGGTATTTTATGCTGGAATGGTGAAAAACATGATAGTGACATTTTATTATTATCCATCCTAGAATTTTTTTTTTTTATTATTTAAGAAAAGGTTTTCAAGGGATCTTTGAGCTACGGGAACTGTAGCAATGCAATATGTGGGGTATTTATATATATTTAAGCACAATGTCAGCAATATTGAGCTAGACATTATACATTGCAGATTATTTCATTGCCAACGAATAAATTATAACAAGTGATGTGTATTTGTTATTAAAGTGTAAAAATTCTGGAAGAAACTCAGAATACCATTTTACTAGCTTTGTCTAGATGAATAGAAGGGGCAGGGGCTGACTGGCAACTTTTAGCCCAGGGGGCAAGTACAACCCAGAGGCCCATGGTGCAGCAACTTGGCCCTCCTCCCGCTCTGCCTCTTGCCCGCCTTCTCCCCGCCCGTCTGCCACTTTTGCCATCCATGTAACAGTAGTGTGAATGGTTGGGAGATGTGAGGACTCCTAGTAAGTCCATGAAAGGGGTGACAGGCTGGGGGATGGTGCTCTCCTCGCACTGGGCTCCCTACATGGTTCTGGCCTTACTCCGCTCCATGTCCACTACTTAGGCACTCTCACCCACTGTAGACCGCCGCTGGCTGTCCATGCTTCTGGGCTGTGAGCTGTGGGAGGATAGTGGGAGGGGCCGGACAGTGTCAAAGCCAGTGTTCTATAATTTTTTTCGATCCTATACATTTTCTCGGCTGTGTCACTTCCAGTGGGGCCGTGTCATCCGAATCAGCTGTTTTCATGACCCCCTTTCATGACCCCCTTTCTTCATGACATGCACACCTGGAAGTGACGCGGTAGAGAAATTAATGGGTTGAGGAAAATTATAGCACACTGGTAGTGGAGGGATGCCTCATCAGTGCTGTGCGGGTGTATGACAGCAATACCATTATACAGCAATGCAGAACTGCATCAGCTATAGAGAACTACAAATCTCAGCAATACATATTACAGCAATGCAGAATAATATGAAGCTACATACTCTGTTGCTCTGGGTTCTCCACCTGATGTCTCCAGGGTCTCAGGTGGGTTGTGCGGGCTCTCACCAGGGGTCCAGAGAGTTTCACTGGTGCGTGTGGGTGCAGCAGAGGCGGCTCCCTAATTAGGCTCTCAGGTGGCCAAGGTCGGCTCTCTGCTGGTCAGTGTGGGATCTGTGGGGGCTCCCTAATAATCTGTGGTAACTCCCAGGTGGGTAGTGGGGGCTCCACTGTGGCCAGTGGGGGCTCCCTGGTGTAGGGTGACCATTTATCTAGAGCTGCAGCTAAAGATTATTTTCAAAATTGATTAGTTAGCCGATTATTAAGTTCAATTAACCGGTCAATCGGGATTTTAAAAAAATGTTTGTATTGAGATTGTAGTCCATCACAGGAGCAAGCTTGGAGTGGTGGAAGAAAAAAAAGTGTGGTGTACAATATAGTGAAATGGAAAGTGTAAAATTATACAGCAATCAATGCAAAATGGCAACGGCTATAGAGGACTACAAATCCCAGTAATACATTATACAGCGCAATGCAGAATACCTCCAGCAATAGTACATAATAGCTGGCGCTGTATAACGTACTGTTGCTGGGATTTGTTGTAGTCCTCTATAGCTGGCAGTATTCTGCATTGCGCTGTATAATATATTATTGCTGGGATTTGTAGTCCTCCATACAGCGCAATGCAGAATATCACCAGCTATATAGGAATACAACAAATCCCAGCAATAGTACATTATAGCTGGTGGTATTCTGCATTGCGCTGTATAATATATTATTGCTGGGATTTGTAGTCCTCCATACAGCGCAATGCAGAATATCACCAGCTATATAGGAATACAACAAATCCCAGCAATACATTATAGAGCACCATGTGTGGGAAGTGCAGGCTTACCTGAGCAGTCTTCCAGCAACTTGCTTCTGAGATCGGGCCTGTCTGTCAGCGGCTGTCATCCACCCACACCTGCTCCTCCTTACTTCTTCTTCTACCCCCGATCATGGATGTAGGCGGGCGGTGAGTGTGAGGCAGGGAGGAGATGTGGCGTGTGGAGCGTGGATGCAGGCGGGCGGGTCTAGCAGTGGCAAGCGTGAGGCAGGGAGGAGGTGCGGCGTGTGTGGAGCCGTGAACAGGGCCAACTAATCGAAAGCCGATAATCGATGATTGAAAACTTGGAGA